CTATAGCATTTACTAAAATAAATGAAGTGTGGAATACATATATGTTGACCATATATATTTTTCATATTCATAAAATTACTAGATATCCGCAAACGATTAAATTCTTATTTTCAAATTATCCTATGCTTAAAATCCTACTTCATTTCTGTTAAAATTAAACTGCTATCGCTGAACTCTTTACTCGTTCCTTGTTCACCGTATTTAAGATGTCCCGAGGACTTTTCATCGAAATCACAAAACTGAACGACGAAATGGAATAAAAGTAACAAGGTTACGATGGACCACGGTGAATTTGACACGAAACTCGGTCACGCTACGACGATTCGTATCGTTCACTTGCTCGTCGTTTCAAATACATAAATATAAATAAGTAGGACGGAGGATTTTCAGATAACAGCAGATGAATCGAGACCGTACGTACTACGATGTTCGATGCCAAGTCACGACTGCACTTTTGCATTCTTCATAGTTTTGTGAATTGGACACAAAATTCGAGAGACTATTCAACGAGTACAAGACATGCATCATGAGCTGTTTCTGTAAGACATTTATGTATGTCAATGACATGTTATTCAAACAATGTTCGTGCAAATTTTCCAATGGTATGACCTGTCTTGAATAGTGGTAACTGCTCGATTAACTATTAGATTTTTCCAACTGCAAATACAAACAAAAAGTTACATTATTTTATCGTGTATTGTTCGATAATTTATTGAAATTTAAAGAACTGTATGATGTCAACGATCCCATTTTATCTAATCTAAATTATACAAATAATGCAAACAAGCTAACCGTTTTATTCAAAGTAAACGTCTTTTGCCATCATTTTATGTATAAGCTGTATCACGTGTTATTCGTGTAAAAACAATTCTAAAGATACTATACGATCATTCTATTAGTTTGTTACAACAATATGTGAAACTGTTTTGCAACAAAACGTTTTATTTTACACGTGTGCTATTCAGGTTCGTGGTCACAGATTTCTACACAATTCTAATCAAATATTAGTTATTTCCGTTATTTTGTCGCGCAATGGCGTTCATTGCGCATGCGCACGTATTACCTCATCCAATGTTTAAAATCAGCTTGGAAAATTATTTACCCAGCTTGAGTCCGACTCGAATGTCAGCCACATTCGCGGATCTGGCAGCCATGAGTTCATATTATTTAATGACACGTACAGTTAAAAAACATTTAACACCAAACGAGTCTACTTGGCAACTGCCGCTTGTATTAACGACAACGTCACACTGTTTCGAGTAATGAAAGTGTCGTTCCGTTACCCAAGCGGATTATGTTCAGTTATGTTTACACCAGAAAGCAAGCTAATTCGATGACATTTGTCAACAGGAAACCTAATGTCCCTATTGAAAATAGGTAATGAATGTTTTCAATGAACCTTCACTTTCGCGCCAACGATTTCGTTCTGTGAATATGCAACAAGACAATGGGCATTGTACCTGTTCTTGATATCATGTTTTCGATGATTAACCCACAGAGTTGATGTTTTCGGCAAGGATTCGTGAATGTGTCAGATTTGTTGACATATCCAAAAAGATCGTTCTAATTAGTATAAGTATCTATGGCGGTAAATATGATTGATATGTATTAATTTAATCATACTACGATTAACGAGATAAAAAACAATAAAATTTCATATTCTTGGGGAGTAAACAAATCAATTAGCAATATTCGAAAGAATATGTAATGATGTAGATGTAACTGCTTAACATATACAAACGCTGTGTAAATGGCGTGATATTTTTGTTTAACGAATTTCGACATTTATACTAGTTTATAAATGATACTAATGTCAAATATATTGACATATAAATATAGATATATAAATTTTTGTCTAATAGCTTGAATAATTAACTATTAGTAATTTTTTTGATGTTATTATAACTTGTATAATATTTATACAAATTGTTCGTTAAAAATTCAAAAGGTTAAACGAAAATTTTACTAATTAAAAACATCGCAACACTAATAATTTATAATGATATTAATAACTTCGCATATTAAAACAAATATATACAAAAGAATACAATAATAATATAAAACGCTGCATTACTCTCATCAGTACTAACAATATCAATCAAACAATGATTTTATTTCGTTAATCAAACTCACCAATTAAACAAAAGATCGATTCTTCCGGATATCCGTTGTCGTCATGTATGATAAAACCGTAGTTACTCAATCTAAAATTGAATAGTAATCGCATATGATTGATCTTTTTAAACATACCAATAAAATTAAATTTAAAATGAAAAAATTAATTTTCTGAAAAATACATTCACTATAAATGTTAATGTACTAAAACGCAAAATATTCTACTATATAAACATAATACAAAGAAAGAATAAAAGAAATGTCTTATTTAAATTGCAAATAAATACATAAAGAAAATATATGTCAACTATTAAATTCAGTGTAAACATACATTAAATAAAAAAAACGACAGTGAACTTTTCTTTGTTACTTTCTAACTCGTTTCGATTTCTTTAAAGCGATCTTCGACTGTATGGGAGTAGTGGCAAGCTTTTTGTCGAGAGGATTCTAACCTCACCTGAGAGAACACGATAACTTCCAGGGTAGCCGAATCTCGTTACTTGACAACGTGTACCGCGAAAATGTGAATTAGAAACACCATTCTCAATTAAACTGAAGATCACATCGCGTCAATTACACGACTTAGAAAATTCGTCCAATCGCACACTAAAATCGTAACACGAAAATATACTTCGCCGTCTTTCATTCGATGTACGTAGCGTCATCCACCAGACGGCGCTACGGACATTGAACAGCTGATTTCTCATGCACGTGCGCCATGGCTGAGCATTTTACACACAAGGCGTGCAACACGACTCAATCACTGGTCCATAGTTATTCAATTTAACCTCGGAAATAGATATTACAAGAGAGGATTATTAAAATAGAAATAAAAAATTTTGACACTCGTCTGCAATATTTATAGAACCTGCCATGTCTTAATAAAAGATGGATTTATTATTAAAT